TTGAAAGTGGCCTGCAGGGCTCCTACTCTCTTTAGCGATGAAATGGCTAATAGGAAGATAGTCTTAAGTGTCAGAACTCGATCTGAAACCTCCGTTCAAATGGAGGTTTGCAGAGAGCCTCTAGCACCACAGCCAAATCCCACAGAGGGACGCGAGATCGTACCAGAGGCCTCAGCCTCAGCGCACCGCGTAGGAAACGTGTAACTAGGGGTTGTCTACCCACTGACTGGCCAACAAGAGGGGCGTGGTAGGCCGCAATAGCCGCCACGTAGACCTTCAGGGTGGAGTGGGTCAACCCTGCGGAGAAACGGGCCTGCAAGAACTCCAGCACTGTACCAACCAGGCAGATAACTGGGTCGAGCTGGCGTTCTCCGCACCAAGAAGTGAAAAGTTTCCACTTCAAGGCGTACAGTTTCCTCGTTGAGGGAGCTATGGATTGGAGGATGGTCTCAACAACCTCAGTTGAGAGACCAGAAGCTACGAGTTGTGCCCACTCAGGGGCCACACCCATAACTTCCACAGCTCCGGGCGGGGCTGAAAGATCGTGCCCTCCGCCTGTGAGAGGAGGTCCCTCCTGACGGGGATCTCCCATGGAGAACCGTCGAGAAGTGGTGTCTCTTATCATGTGCTTTAGACATATTTCTTTTTCTTTTTTATTTATTTTCTTCCCTACGGGACAGACAAAACCAAATAAGACTCACAAACAGACTGACACACACACAGAGCGCTTGCTGAATGGCAAAAAGCTGACGCTGGTCTCACCGCACGTGCTTTTATAGCCTCCTGGTCATTACGTCACCCGCCGTGACGTCTCGCCCATCTATTGGTCTGATTACACACGAGGTTCAGAGCCCGTCACACTGAAGGGCGTTCCCCTAGCGTTTTCGACGCAGCTCGAGATCCTGAAGAGGAACAAGGAAACAGATCTTGTGATGAATTCAACTCTGATGTGACCATTAGCCTGTGAGTGGCCTAATATACTCATGTAGTGTAGTCCTTCAAACAGCAAGACATAGTACGAGGAATTTCTGTCTGGCTGTAAGAATAAATTTGAATGTAAGAATTTATTTGAGTTTACGATATATGTACTCATTTTATGGGTATATAACTTGCAGACACCGTGCTGGTATACAGTATGAATGTATGAAAAATGTGTTTGAAGTGCTCATTCTGCATCCATTTAGTGCAGAATTCATATCAGCATGTTTAATATTGCACCTTAAAAGTTACCTGGATTTCAGTGGCTTACAGAGTTCATTAAATTGGTTTTCAACAATATCTGACTGTTTGTGGAAAACCAAATGGCTACTGATCTCATGACCTGAGAGAGAGAGAGAGAGAGAGAGAGAGAGAGAGAGAGACAAGATGTTTTTCAGTCTTTGGAAGTCTACTCTTATGAGTTAGCGTACCACCTGCAACCTGCAACCCCCCTACAATAGGTATGGGCTTTGATTGTTTTTCCATTCACCATTTCAAAGAATTTATGAATTATGAATTGTCTTTGAACAAATTGTTTAGTGACCTCACTGACTTTACAGAATTTGCGCCCTCTGGAAGACACAAAAGCTGTTGGAATTAAATGGAATTCTAAAACATATAGTTCTGGCCCTTGGTACTAATTGGTCAATAGCTGTGTTTTATTTACTTACAATGAAGCATGGCTCTGACCGCTTCACCAAACAGATCTGTGTACCACTACTCAACACCCTTAGCAACATAACAAATCCATATAATGTCAAAACTGTTCTGTGTATTATGTATTTCAGAAAAAAAGTAACCATTTATTATTTATGTTATAAAGTATGAGTGAACGTCTTCATACTGGAGATATACTATATGGACACCTGACTATTTTACCAGCAGACATTGCATAATGACATTGCATTATAAATGCACATTTATGCATCAATATAGATTTGCTCATTTATTTGCAGCTATAACAGCTTCTAATCTTCTGGGAAGCCTTTCCACAAGATTTTGGAGTGTTTCTGTGGGAATTTTTGCCCATTCATCCAGTACGTTTGTGAGGTCAGGCACAGATGTTGGACGAGAAGGCCTGGCTTGCAATCTCTATTCCAGTTCATCCCAAAAGTGTTCAGTGGGGTTGAGGTCAGGGCTCTGTGTGGGCCAGTCAAGTTCTTACCAAACTCATCCAACCATGTCTTTACGGACCTTGCTTTGTGCACTGGGGCTATATTAATATAGATTCATATAGATTTCATACAGATCCATATTCATATAGATTTGTATTGTGTGGTAATCATTTTATAATATTTTATATTTTATATGTACTGACAGATTTTTTTATTTCGATTCAGCTGACTTAGCTGGGAAATAACTAACTAAAAGTAATGTTTAATCTTCTTGGCTAAGAGTATCAAGAGGCATTTAATTCTTTGTATCACTCCACTCGTTTGCATTTATGGTACTTAGTGATTTGTTATGAAGCGCGAAGGACAGGAAGAATAGAATAGAAGAAGTGTTTGGCAAGAAGAAAACAACAATCAGAAAATGAGTCGTGTGATATGAGACGTTATGAATCTTTTTTAATAAAAGCTGTTTGGAGTCAAACAGGGCGATTGTGAAGGAGGACTCTTCTCTCTGAGCTTTCTCTTTTGAGTCCTGATGCCTATCAGATTCATTCATCTATTTCCAATTCAAATTGGGCCTATCTCTCCCACATCAAACCATTGATATTCCAATAATTTGTCTGGCACGGAGGGTCTGCTCTATTTTGCTTGTGTAGAAGGATGTGGGTTTGTGTGTGGGTTTACACCAGTGTGTGTGTGTGTGTGTGTACTGTAGATCTCATGTTATTAGTATTCAGGGCAGGGACAGGAAAAAAAAATCAGGTTCTGCAGCTCCTTTCTTCATTCATATGTTCAGCCTGTCCCTGTTTTGTCTTCCTGTGGTTAATATAGAGTTTTCCATTCGTCCAGATTAAGTTAGGTGATATTGGCCACTCTGTAATGTTTGTCTTCATCTCTGGTGTGGTAAGAGTTGTATTCTACTTGAATTCTGCAATACCTTTCCATTGTATAACTATTGAAATCACTTTGTTGGTTAAAGGTGAATTTATTATAAAAGCTCTAGAGGAATGTTCTGTCTTATTGTAAATGCAACTAGTGTTTAAAGACTGTTCAATTAACATTTACTTAATTAAAGTAATGACTTCTCAAGGAAAAACCAAGGGCAAGAAATTCTGGCAGATTATCAGAAGAATTGCAGATAAAAGCAGAAATGTGAAGCTCATTTTTTTCATACTCTGTTATTCAACAGCATGTCACAGATGTTAATGATTTGAGCTTGAATTGTACGTAACCCGTAATGTTCAAGTTGTCATATACCAATAAGCTTTCAGAGGGTCATGTTTTGTCAACATAGTTGCATTTTTCTCAATTCCAATGTTTTTCCCTTGACAAACTCCTCCTACAGATGTTCTAGTTTGTCCTCTTCGCATTGTCTAGAGATTTTGAGATCTTCACCCTGATGAGGTGGCAGATCTGTTCATGACCACACAGAAAATAGCCAGCGTGATTGAGAAACACTTCCAGTTATCCTGCCTAACCATCGCCATACAGGTATGATGGGATTCAGCTTATACAAGTCCATTTTGTATATAGTTACGTAATAAGATTACTTTTTCCAAGTACCTAGTAAATTAACATATTACTTTTACATTTACAACAAAAGATCTGATTTACTTTTTCAAGTTACTTTGTTTTCCCATTTATCAAGGTAATGATTGGTGGATGTATGAAGTCAGCTCTCCATGAATTCACGCAGGTGTGCTAGTGAAGTAACCATATGTGTAGAGAATCACATAATTTTACTGACATATTATTGGGAGATATAGAGTGACAACTGATATTCATATGCATTTTATGTAAATTGTCTGTGGTACTGTTATAAATATCTCATTGATGTACATTACAAGCTATTAAAATTTAATCGTAGCTTTTGACCATGAATATCAGCAACTGCGCCAAACTGTGTATGTATATGTATGTATGTATATATATATATATATA